ATTCAGCTTTGTTCGGGTATTTTCCCAAGTCATTGTAGTTGTGCTTTTAAAGTTGTAGCAACGTTTCGACAGAATCTCATCTGCCATCATCAGGCTTCTGTATTGAAGAAGAATACAGAAGCCTGATGATGGCAGATGAGATTCTGCCGAAACTTTGCTACAATTTTAAAATATCTAGGCCATTTATCCAATTAAGCACAGCATTTGCTAATTGGACAAAATCTGCTTTTCCTCCTGCATACACTCTCAAATGGATATAGCTGGTCACTATATGATCCATTGTCTGACAAGGAACACCACAGTCACATTCAGGAGAGGATACTCTACCCCATTTAAACACAGAGTCTTGGCCAAGCCAAACTATGTAAGGTATGGGTCCTATTCAGAGTTTTCCAGCACTGTATGGTAGCAGTTAGGGGGAAATGTTGACTTGTTTTCCCTCCCAGGGAAATCACACTGTGGCTGATGTACAGTTTCACTCTCAGTGACTCTGGGCAGCTTAGAAAGATAAAATTTCAACACACACACACACAAAAACACCACAAAACTTCTCTCCTCCCCTTCTCCGGCAACAACAATCAAATGAACCACTTGATGGACTCCATCCCACCCTGGGGCCCGAGGCCTGTTGGTAAAACCAGGCTTTCAGGGCCTACAGAAAGAGTGTCCAGGTGGAGGCCAATCTTATCTCCATGGGGATGATGTTCCACAGGGAAGGAGCCACCACAAAGATGACCCTTTTTCTTCATGCCACCAGGTGGAGTTCTTTAAGAGAGGGGGCCTGTAACATTTCCTGCTTCGTCTCTCGGGTCAGGTTGGGTAGAGGTGGTTGGGGAAAGACAGTCATTCAAATAACCTGATCCCAAGCCATGTAGAGCAAGGGTCTTCAAACTTGGCAAGTTTAAGACTTGTGGACTTCAACTCCCAGAATTCCTGAGCTAACACGACTGGAGGAGAAATTATGGAAGTTGAAGTCCACAAATCTTAAAGCTGTCAAGTTTGAAAACCCCTGATGTAGAGCTTTGAAGGTGGCAACCAACATCTTGTATTGGACCCAGTATTGCTCCATAATATTGCCCAAATATTGTCTCACCATGGAACTCATGCCGTGTGTGTGTGTGTGTGTGTGTCTGTTATATTCCATGTGTGTCAGGCTCTGCCTTTAAACTTAGAAGCAAAGTAGACACCATCTCAAGGAAATGAGATAGTGAGATATAAAGAGAAAAGGAATGTGGGAACGGAGATTAAGTCAAAGGCTGGGAGGAAGTTAAAGAACCATTTTCAGGGGTCAGTTTTGGAGGGAGAACGTTTACACATTTCATTTCCTTGTTTCAGGGTTTTAAGGGTCCAAGGGGAGATGCAGGAAGTCCTGGCACGAGAGTAAGTAATATGCAGTGGTGTGATTCAACTGATGTAACAAGCGGTTTGGTGAGTGCGTGCGCACCAAACACGCGCTTGTGCTCTACATTTTAAAAAGCTTCTTTTCAACTGAATTGCTTACCTTCTACTGCAGCCCCAGTGACTAAAACAGCTGAGGCACGGCAAAAATGCTCTGCTGCGTGAATCAGCTGTGTTAAAAAACCAGGAAATAAAGCACAGGAAAGAGCAGGTGGTCAGGGCCAAATGCTCACCGGAACTACTGGTTTGCCCAAACCAGTCCAAACTGGTAGAATACCACCACTGGTAATATGGCTATGCACAAGAATAATTGGGGTGCAAAATGCATTTTTGGGAGGTCACTGTTGCCCCTTATATCTTTGGGGCAGAGAAAACACGATCCACTGGATTTCTGAAGAAGAAAATGTAGACATTGAGACCATGTAAATAATAATCAACCATGTTCCTTGCTGAAAGCTGATACGGAATTTTGGTGGGGAAAAGGATGTAGCATGAGCATCTCAAAAGCATTTCACCCTTGCCTTATGTTACCAGTGCCAAGCAATAAAGCATAAATAAAAGTTAATCACCATGGAAATGAGATGTTTGATGGAAGCTGCTGGAGTGACCAGAAGACATAAAATCAGAAATGAGATCATAAAAGAAAGAACTGGCAAAGAACCAATCTTAAACTGCATATAAAAACAGCAAATAAAGTGGTTTGATCACCCGGAGAGAATGTCATGGGATTCCATACCATACAAGACATATACAAAAAAGAGGAGAAGCCCAAAAGAACACGAGGCACAGCCAGAAGAAGATGGAGAGACAACATCAAAGACACACTCAGCAACATCAATTAACAATAGTTGAGGCCTCCAGAAGAGCCAGAACTTTGTATCTACCTCGACACCTAAAGCGGTAAAAGAGGAAGTAAAGAAGAAGACAAAAAAAGGATGTAGTAGCACTGACATACTTTAAGTTACATGATAGAGCATGTAGAATTTTCAAAGGGGAGGATTTACTGTAGTCTAAATTTTGTTTTACTTTCTTCCATCCTTTTTCTTTACTACAGGGAGAACCGGGTCAACCTGGAACTCCAGGCCGGGAGGGGTTATCAGGAAAAGATGTAAGTGTTAAGCACAATAAAAGCTCTATGTCAACTTCAAAGGTGATTAAAAGTAGTAGTAGTAATAGTAACAATATTTCTTAAATTTTCTTCTAAATGTCCATCATCTGACAATCATCCTATTCTCTCAGCCTGATTTATTTTATTAAATTTGTATCCTGACTCCCATCGACTCCAAAACTCATCCCCCTGTTTAACATTACAATTTAATCACAAATAAGCACTGTTAAGATAGATAGAATTCTTTATTAGTGTCCAAGTGTGATTGGGTACACAAGGAATTTATCTTGGTGCAAATGCTCTCAGTGTACATAAAAGAAAAGATACATTCGTCAAGAATCATAAGGTATGACACTTAATAATAGTCATAGGGTACAATAAGCAATCAAATCATACTAGGAAACAGTCAGTATAAATCATAAGGATACAAGTGACAAAGTTACAGTCATACAGTCACAAGTGGGAGGAGATGGGTGATAAGGAGTGATGAGAAGTGATGAGAGTTGTTCCTGAAATGGCCTCCAGAGGTAAAGACTAAGGAAGGAAAGAGAAGGATTGTGGGAGGGGTTGTCTGAGATCAGGAATAAGTCGTGAGTTCTAAGATAACTTTGGCTATGATGTATGATATTTTTCAATGAGGCTATGATGTATGATATGTTTCTCTCTTCTATTTCAGGGAGATCCAGGACCCGCAGGACCAGAAGGCCCCCGAGGACTTAGAGGAATAGCAGTAAGTTACTTTGCCTATTTAATGAGTTGTTCTGATTCTAGGAGACACCTTGCAGTACCCCAGTGTTCAGGATAATCTATGTATAGATGGTACGCTGTATCATAGTGAAGATGTTGTGAAGGGAATTTTTTTCTTTGGTTGGCATTAATTAATGTTGATTGCATAGAGCAGAGACTTTCTTTCCTTTCCTTTGGTAGATATTGAAAATTATTTAAAATATGATGGATTTGGATGTTGCTGAAGTGTATGACTTTTAAGAGAAGCAACAAAAAGGTCTTTCGTTACTTATAAACAATCAATCTTGAATGTCTTATGTAAGTTTCGTGTTATTTTGTGGCTGGTCACCAAATTAAACCAGATGGCTGTTGCTTGATATCCAAAGGCCGACAGAGCAGTTTCTCTCTTAACCTTGGAGTAAAGTGTGGTGGGACAAAATAAATTATCCAGACAAGGAGTTTCTGGTCTTAGGACTTTGGTTCCATTCATTGGAGTTCTTTATATATTTTGAGATTGATTGTTGTCCGCCTTTCTTTAGGGCAAGACTGGACCTCCAGGTGCACCCGGGGAACCTGGTCCTGTAGGTAACCCAGTAAGTACTGTATTTACCATCTTCATCACAAGCATGAGCTCACAACAGCTTGGGAACAGCAGCTATATGTCTATTGAGATTCTGAGTCATCCACGTCATGGTTTCCCAAAGCTTGCTTTTTCAAAAGGCAATTGGACTTCCTTTATTTTTTCTTGAAGACATTTCACTTCTCATCTAAAAAGCTTCCGTCAGAACTCAAGAGTCAGAACTGAAGAAGCCTCTTGGATAAGAAGCAAAATGTCTTCAAGGAAAAACAAGAAAGTCCAGTTGTCTTTTGAAAAAGCACCTTTGGCATAGCAGTTACACTGAGGCCATTATGCACCATGATGTCATTTTGTAATCGGCAGAGTTAGCCATGTAGTATTTGTGTCATTTGCATGATAAAATGCAAGACATCAGTTGTCCCATCCTGGCAGATACCTTGTTTTCCCGAAAATATAACCTACCCTGAAAATAAGTCCTAGCTTGATTTTTACATGTGTGCCCAATATAAGCCCTACCCCCCAAAATAAGCCCTAATTAAGATCCCACCCACTCCAGAGTGCATGGGTAAAAATTAGGGTGGGGATGGGGGTGGTGGTGTTGACCTACTACTTACCTTTGGACAGTTGTAACCAGGCTTCTCACACCTCAACACCTGCCTTGTGAGCCCATTTCTTCTGTAGCTGGTAAGGCTGGCAAGGCTTTCCTGAAGGCCTCTGTAGCTGATAATAAAGCTCTGGATTAATCTGGAGCTCTGTTGTTGCCTGAGAGACCTTCAGGAAAGCTTTTCCGGTTGCAAGAAGAAGTTCCTGAAGGCCTCTGACAGCGAAAAGGAGGCGGGTGTGATGCACGCAAGTGAGGTTAGGATGACATCCTCCCAAAATAAGACCTGGTGCCTTTTTTGGTGGCAAAAAATACAAGACAGGGTCTTATTTTGGGGGAAACATGGTAGTTGTATATAACAAGGTGGTAGGAGTAGCTACTATCTTAAGTAGGCCTTGATTTTAGCTGCACATTGAGAAAAGCTCCAGAAGTTAGTGTTCTTCAGTTGACATAGAAGATAGCCCTCTTCTATGCCATTTTTCTGGAAAGCAAGATATATACTGTAATAATGGATTTTAAAATAAGAGCAGTTCAAACACAAGCTTGACAGCCATCCTTTGAGCGTATTTAATTGGGGTTCATCTGAAATGAGCAAGAGATCGGACTAAAATATTAAGTGGATAGGAAATAGACCAGAATAATCCCAGAATTCATCCATGGCAAGAAACGTGAAAGAATTCTTTGGGGATTTATGGGGAGTTAGAGATCAAGACACTGTGATAAAATTGGACAGATTCTTATTGGAATCAAATTGCCCTTGTCAAAACTCCAAGAAAGAGCATTCTTAAGATGTCTATAATCTTATTGATATGTGAAGATAAGTATAGCAGTTCCTGGTTGATTTTCAAGGCCAAATCAAAGTGCTCTTTTTGATGTGCTAAGGCTAACATTTATTTGCTACAAACTATTTGCAAGAATATCTCTTCTCATACAGATAATCACATCTGGTTGCAAAAATGTTGAATTTTTCATATATTATGAAGGAACTGCTATTGAAGCTCAGTCTTACCTGCTCTCCTACCCCTTTCATCCCAGAGCTTAAAATGTATCTTTTTAAGTCATTTTGAGATTTAAAAAATATACTATAGTCTAGAACAGGGGTAGTCAACCTTTTTATACCTACCGCCCACTTTTGTATTTCTGTTAGTAGTAAAATTTTCTCTAACTGCCCACTGGTTCCACAGTAATGGTGATTTATAAAGTAGAGGACAAAACCCCTACCACCCATCATGAAAGTTGGAACTCCCACTGGTGGGCAGTAGGGACCAGATTGACTACCACTGGTCTAGAAGATCCGTGATGGTGAACCTATGTCAGGCATGCCACAGGTGGCACACAGAGCCATTTGTGCAGGCACGCGAGCCCCAGCCAAACTTACCTCACTGCACATGTGTGCACCTCCTATTTGAGGCCTTTTACCTGTTTGAGGTCTTTTTCGGCCTTTCAGATGCTCAAGGGAAGCCTCTATAGTCTTTGGAGGCCGAAAAAACAGGCCCATTTCATAACTTCCTATATTTCCAGAAATACCAGAAGTGACAAAATGGGCCCATTTTTCGGCCTCCAAAGGCTGCAGAGGCTTCCCTTGAACCTCTAGGGGGCTGAAAAAGGCCTTAAACGGGCCAAAAATCAGCTGGGAGGCATGCGCATGCACAGTGCAGGTAAGGGGGTGGGGGGATTGCGCACACATGCGCAGGGGGCATGGGGGACATGCGCATTGCCTTCTGGGTGCTGGTATGTGAGCATGTGTGCGCAAGCACGCATGCAATTTTCAGCGCAGGAGCCCAAGAAGGTTAGCCACCATTGGTCTAGATGCTTTTAATATCAATATCGTAGCAAGTCTGCCCGAGTTATTTGGGAGTAGTTGACATATGCATTTGTAATATAATCTCAAAATAACTTCACTATTTTTGATTACTGATTTGAGGGCCAGTTTGTGGGTGTAGAAGCCACAGGAAGCTTGAAAGTTGCAGAATATCCATACCTGTCCTAGATGAAAATTCTCCTTTTAAGGAGAAGAGAGTCTGATGTATTGATTTGTCCACATCAAGTGGTCACAAGAACCAAGAGACTCCACATTTTTGCACAGGTGTCCCAAAGAACTATCTAAAATTAATACGCTTCTTCAAAGTTTTGCTTAGAGGACATCATCAGCATCTCTTATGCAAGTAATAGGACCTATAAATTTAATAAATAACTAATAAATAGGTTTGTAGCATGCTTTACAGTCACTGAGGTAATACGCAAACTTTACCACTTTGATTGCTTCTGGCAAGTCAGTTGTGAAAGAACATGGCTCTTGACACTAAACATCATATTCTTTTGCACTGAGAGTGGTCAGACTACTTTTTAGCCCTTACATCTTCTTTTTTTTCATCCCAAGGGCTCCAAGGGAAGCAAAGGTGAAACTGGCAGCCCAGGTGTTCCTGGTTTCATTGGGCCACGAGGTCTTCCTGTAAGTAGCAAATTGATGATGATCATGCTAATGGTAAAATAAAAATGTAGAATAATTAGGAAGTCCTCATTAAGGTAAGGCAAAGAGGAATCTGAGTTGGGTTTAACTCCAGATGCCTCTGCAAGAATATTTTTATAGCTTCCTTCATAATAGTGCTGAAGGAGTTAACCATTGCTATCTTCCAGGGTATCCCTTTGATTTTTCATCTACCTTGGGATACCTTGATGTTCTCCTAAACAGTTCTAGCCCTACTTACTTCCTAACCCAAGACAAGGTTGGCCTTTCCTTTCTGTTGGAAAGGGGAATATATTTATATTTATTTGCTATTTAATGAAGCTAAATCTCCAAAAAAGATAGGTGGTTAAGAAATGTGAAATATGAATGAATTAATTAATTAATTAATCACTTAAAGTTAAAATCTCCATGGTACAGTATTTTTCTTCATATACATATATGTGTCTGTATTTCTGCATCTTTGTGCGTATGTCTGTGTGTATATGTATGTGTTATGTCTCATCTTTACAAAGCAGGTGAAAAGTCCAAACTTCCACTGAATACAAACAAGCAAGCAAATCCAGCAATTATAGAGTTAACTCCTTTGAGCCGATAAAGTTCTTGGCAGTCTCACACACGCTGTTTGCCAAGTCCAATAAGAGAACAGGAATATAAATCACACAAGCTGCCACAACACAGAGTACTCGAAGCTTCTCTGAATAAGTCACATGTTGTCCCGTACGAAACTCTGAGAGCGAACACACCCACTTTTATTCCCTGTGGGGTGTGTCAGTCACTCAGCTCAGTCTCTGATTCGTCCCTTCCTCCTGCATTGCAGCTCACACTTTTGCCTGCGACGCTGCCTCGCATCAATCCAGCATTCCTCTGCTTGATTCTCTGTCAGAGGCTGCTCCGACATGCCCTCCTCCTCCTTTTCCTGATTAGCCTCAGGTTTTCCCTCTTGGTTATCTGCCGACACCTGAGGCACAATCAGGGAGGAAGGCATTGCCGAAGAGGAAGGTCCTGGGGAGGAAGGCATTTCCAATTCCTCCTCTTCCCCATTGTCCGAGTCTTCGTCCTCTAACAATGCAGGCTCAAACCTCAGAGCCACAACATGTATGTATTTACAAATACATGTCAATTAAAAAAAAAATAGATGAACAAAGCAAGTTTAGAAAAAATACCAAAAAGTAAAAAAAGAAAAAAAAACTGATTAAAAAAACCTATTAAGTTTTTGATTTCCCCCTTTTCATATAGTTTGTCATATGCAATATTTGTACATGTTTAGACCCCCTTATAAAACCAACCTGAAATCCAGTTTTTCCTCAGCCTTGGCTGCTATAAGACATGTGAATTCTGGAAGTTGAAGCTGACAAATTAAAGTTACGAAGGTTGAGAAACACTGTGGTAGATTATTTGCTATGCTGCATAATCTGGTTTATCTTTCTTTTCCATAGGGAGAACCAGGTGAAAAGGGGTCACCAGGGAAAGAGGTAAGTATTTTGTTACATTCCTCGCACAAAAATGCTGACTTATTAGTGCTACTAAGAATGACTGCAAACTGCAAACACCTTTAAAAAAAAAATCTGCTTGCTACTACAAATGCCATTATAATTCATGTATGAATTGGCATCCTTCAGTCTCAAGAGACGATGGTATCGTGCTTTGAAAAGAGGTCCTAAAACAATATCTAGTGTGGTTAAAAAGGCCAATTCGAGAGTGGCAATCCTTTCCACACTGAAGACAGATACCATCTGTCCCCTGTCCAGTCCTCAGATCTTGCTGGACTTTGCCTCAGCCTACTGAATGAGTGTCTCTTCTTCAAATTGGAGAAGGCCACGCTGTGTCTTTAGCCTCCAATGTGAACAATCAGAGATCAAGGTTTCCCAGCTGTTGATGTCCATTCCCAAGGCCATTAGATCCCTCTTGCAGATGTCCTTATATTGCCGCTGTGGTCTCCCTCTAGGGTGCTTTCCCTGCACTAATTCTCCATACAGAGATCTTTTGGAATCCGCCCATCGGCCATCCTCACGACATGCCCAAGCCAGCGTAGACATTGCTTTTTCAATAGCATATACATGCTAGAAATTCCAGCAAAAATTCTGCTTGCTACTACAAACGCCATTGTAATTCATGCAATATAATTAATTTTCCCTTTCACATTAGTACCTGAAAGAGAGATGAGACACATATACACACAAAGAATTAGCTTTATCACTGGTTTTTGGACCCCCTCCTCTCTTTTCAGGGCACCTCAGGGAATCCAGGAGAACACGGACAAAAAGGAGAGAGGGTAAGTATGAGAGCTTCATTCATATCCCAAAATTTCAAATCCAAGCTGACAAATGTCAATGTCAGCTTTCTGTGACACTTCAAAGCAGATGACATGCAATCACATTGTACTCACTCATAGATAAACAAATTCTTGCTATTTGACATATTTCTGAATCAGTTTCATTCAGTTCATCATCACCCCAGCGACAATTTCATAATTTCCAGGATTCTCATCTCTCTGACTTTAAATTGATAGCCTCACCTCCTGATTGCAATGGATGAAGCACTCTGTTCACCCAGAGAGGGCACTTAAAGAAAGTTAGAGCTCTGTGGGAGATGAGTGACTCTGTTATCTGGTTTCCCACACGCACACCTAAAGTAGTAGGGACTGGTCTATCCATACAGCATTTATAATGGATCTCTGCTGAAGAGTTATCACATTTTATTTTTGCTTAATTCCAGAGCCAGTTTGGTCTAGTGCAGGGGTGTCAAACTTGGGGTGCTTAGAACTGGCCCTTGAGGCCACCTTGGAAACAGCATAAGATTGGCCCTGGTGATCTCTGCCAACAAAAATGGAACTCGGGAGGGCCTCGCACAGCCCTCCCAAGCACTGTTTCCACTGGCAGAGGGCTAGCAAAACAAACTAAAAAAAAAACAAAAGGAGAAATGTTTCCCCTTTTGCATTTGAGCATGCAAGAAGGGCAGTGGTGGTATTCTACCAGTTTGGCCCCGTTCAGACAAACCGGTAGTAAAAAATGCTACTGTTCGGCCGAACTGGTAGATCAGCTCTCAATGATCAGCTGTTCTGACAATCAGCTGTTCTGGGATTCCCTGTCTTATTGCTTCTCCCAGGAGGCTTCCCTGAGACCCAGGAGGCAAAAAAAACAAAAAAAAAAAACAGAATGTGGGGGGGGGAGGGTAGTGAAAAAAGAAGAAGCCAGGCCCACCCAGTCACATGGCCATGCCCACCTAGCCATGCCCACAGAATCGGTAGTAAAAATATTTGCATCCTACCCTTGAAGAAGGCACATGGAAGGAGAAAGGGAAAGAGGAAAGAAAAAGAAGCAAAGAGGGGAAGAGAGCAACAAAGGAAAAAATAAGGAAAGAGGGGAAGAAGAAAGGAGAATGAGGGAAGGAAAAAGAAAAGGGAGGGAGGGAGGGAGGTAAGAAGGATGGAAGGAGATTATAATGAGAGTGAGGGTGGGTCTGAGGGAAGTTCTGCCTTAGCACTTGGCAACTACAGGTACCTCCAACATGAGTGACGTTGAGCTGGCCAAGCCCACTCCAGCCCCCTGAGATCAAACTCAACCCTGATGTGGCCTCAATGAAATCAAGTTTGACACCCCTGGTCTAGTGGTTAAGGCACTAGGCTAGAAACCAGGACACTGTGAGTTCTAGTCCCATCTAAGGCATGGAAGTCAATTGGTAACTTTGGGTCAGTCTCTGTCTCTCAGCCCATGATGGTAAGAAGCTGGTCAGTAAACCCCCTAGCAACCAATAGATGATCTGGAAAAAAAAAATGGACCTTGAACTTGCAGGAAATTGTGAGGAGGAGGAGGAGGAGGAGGAAGACCACCTCAAAGTGAGATAGGTGGCAAAATCAATCAATCACTCAGCCAATCAAATAAATAAATCAGATTTTTTTTTTGTTTAATCCAATCCAATCTATCCTTTTTTTTCCTCCGCCAGGGAGATCCTGGAACGAAAGGTGAAAAAGGGCCAGCAGGAGTGAAGGGACCACCAGGTGATCCAGGAGTTCCTGGCCGCAAAGGACACACAGGATTAATGGGTCCCTCAGGACCAGCAGGAGAATCAGGACAAGTTGGACCTCCTGGCCCTCCAGGCCAACCTGGATTTCCTGGGCCTAGAGTGAGTTTAGAGGGAAGTGTGCTTTGGGTAGGCTACCCCATAATGTCTGTCACTGGGAGGCCCAAGGAAACCAAATGACAGAATATGTGGTGAGGTTATGATGCAAACTCTGACCTGATCGTATTTTTGTTGAAATCATGTCTGGATGCAGATGCTTCTGAATGCATCTTATCAGCTGTATTTTTTTTTTAACTCATCACGTATAAAAATGCAGCTGAATATTTAAAAAAACTATTGCTGGATAATTGCCCGTTATTTTATGTCTATTTCAACATGAACCATTCATTGTTATCAATTACTTTACTTTATTGTCATTGCACCTCGTACAACGTTATCAAACACCATCTTCAGTGCACATCATGACCATGAAAATGAACACAAACACACATCCTTCACACTCCACTCATTGAACCAGAAACCCCCAACACCACACCAACACTGCACTATACAGTAGAATTCTGAAGAGCTACTGCCCTGGGATAGAAGCTGTTTTTCAGCCTATTTGTCCTATATTGTTGAGGGCCCTATGAAGAATTTGCTAAAGTATTTGGAATTCCTGTGAAGGGACCAGTTTGAAGAACAGCTTCTGGAAGAAATGAATTTTAGGTTTCAGGTTTTCTTCAGCATCCTAAAATGCCTTCAAAACCACTATTGCCATCACCAAATGGATCTATTATAGCATTTACAGTACATGCTATTAAGATAGAGTAATATATAGGAATAAGCTCATGCTTCCTTCATGAATGATTCAAACTTCTTCTTGTAGATATAGTATGCCCAACCCTTTCCTGTATTAAAATTGGAACCATTTAGAATTATTACACAATAGTTACTCCTAATCTTACAAAGTTTTGTGACCAAAGGCCCTATGAAGTCTTTAAAAATGCTAGAATGTGCCTCCTAAAGTCTTTTTTTTTTTAATGCTACTGTATTACACATTTTAGCTTTAGAAAGAATGAATGCATTGTCTTACCTGCTTAAGAAAGGGAGTTAAACTCATTCACAAGTATCAGTATTTTAAGCTCTAGTGTCTTAAGGCATCTTTTTTGTCTCCTAGGGGGATCCTCCATCAACAGAAACATTACGAAGACTCATCCAAGAAGAGTTAGGGAAACAACTTGATGGTAAGGACTTGTATTATATATCATTCCAACATGTTAGAGAGGATCAGAAGGGGAACGAACGAACGAATGAATAAATGAATGAATGATGGAAGGAAGGAAGGAAGGAAGGAAGGAAGGAAAGAAGGAAGGAAGGAAGGAAGGAAGGAAGGAAGGAAGGAAGGAAGGAAGGAAGGACTTTTCTACTTTTCTTTTACACTGTGCATCTAAATGGTGCTATGCTTTTTAATTTTGTCTCTAACTTTCTCTCTTTTTTACGTGGATTTTATATATTTTTATTTGTAAAGCATATAATGTCATTGCAAAAGTAATGTATAAATTTGATAAATAAATAAACAAAATCCTTTTGATTCCATTGTCTTGTTTTCAACTCCTAGCAAACATATAGATAATAGATAAGATAATAAACCCCTTTACCACCCTTCAAATACTGTATCTCTAATAACTGAGCTTCTCAATAATTTTAAAATTCTTGCCTGTCAATACTTTTCTTGTTGACTTTTCACCTCCTGTATCTGTCTTTTTTTGTAGCTAAAAATTTTTAAGCCTTTTTTTGCATGCTACATTGTTTTTTTTTTTAACTTTCTAGCTCTATTTTTAAAGAAACCCCCTCCCCATCTATTTTGTTCTCCATTTTCAGGAGGAAACAAATTATATTGATCCTTGTTTGGAAAACAGTTTCCAAACAAGTATCAATATAATTAAGATTCCCCATCGCTATTCTTTCATGCCTCTTTGATTTGGTTGCACGAATTAGATTTGTCTAAGGACTAGGAATGACATGATAGCAGTATTCCAGTGTTTGAGGGGCTGCCACAAAGAAGAGGGGGTCAACATATTCCCCAAAGCACCGGAAGGTAAGATACGAAACAATAGATGGAAACTAATTAAGGAGAGAATCAACCTATCGTGGTTTCGAGTAATGGGCCTAATTGAACTCAGGAGAAATTTCTTAACAGTTACTACAATTAATCAGTAAAACTGCTTGCCCACAGAAGTTGTGGGTACTTCATCACTGGAGGCTTTTAAGAAGAGACTTAGACAGCCACTTATCTGAAATGGTATTGGTATTGGTAAATGGTATTACTGAGCAGGGGGTTGGACTAGAAGACCTCCAAGATTTCTTCCAGCTCTATTCTGATTAGTACTTTGCTTTTGAGAAGCGTATTCTTCTCTGTTGGATCAGTGACAGTAGACACTATCAAGAGCATTGCTTTTAATTTTGTTCTCGTGAATTTTTATCTGGAATCTAATTGCTCTCTACAACATTGCCAAGTTCACTCATTTGGGTTTCTGGGGATGACTGTTTCTAACATATGTTGGAAGAGTTATCCTTCTGGGTTCAGTTCCAAGTGGGGAAAAAGACACTAGAAACACGGAGGCTGTTTGGAAAGATGGTTTAATGGTGGACAGGACCACATGGTTTGGAGCTCCAAAGAAGGAAGGATGATCACATGCTTCAAGGTGAAGGGAAAAAGAACGGAAGGGCTGAAAGTGCCTGGGTTTTATGCCTTCTGTTGGGATTTGAATTTGAGCTTGTATTCTGATTGGTTGACAGACTCCCATGGGGCTGTATGTAGACTGCTGAGTCCCAGGCTTGGTTGAGCCTTGCTGGATGATGATGTAATGAAAGGGCTCTGGGCAATTCCTATAGCTCTACCTGGAGATCTTTGTAATGTAAAATATTCTGGCCCAGGCCTTAATGGCCCACCCATTAACAAAGGGAGTGGGGTGAGCTTCTACTTCTGAGGTGAGCTTCTGCTTCTGAGTTTCTACTCTTTTTAGGGGAAATATTCTGCCTTTTTAGTATATCCTAAAATATTTCATTTTCCTAGGAGAGAGGTAGGTTTTAACTTCCAACACATACATACACCCATTCCTTTTCTATAGCTTCTGAATTCCATGTTAAGGAGAAGATTTGTATGCTGTCCTTTCTTCAGTAGATTATAGAGTGGTAAATAATAAAGATCATAAAATAGTAAAATATGCATGAAAGAAAAGAAAAAAAATTAACAATATTATGTGGGAGCAGCTAAAAATATTCTGCAAGCTAAAGCATTTTTCAAAGTAATTTCCCAAGGAAGATAAAAATGTCTTCAGTCGGTAGAAGAGGCACATAATATAAAGGTGCATTGTTATTTATTACTTCATAGTGGTGTAGGCTTTTCTTCTTGCTGTTGTTGTTCTCTTTTGGACATTTTTATAAGGCAGGCTGTGTGCTTCTAGCCCAGCTGTTATGTGCTCTGAAGATTGATCCTAGGGGTGTCACAATTACCCCTAAGGATATCACTGTGAGCTTGTAAGCGAAACCTTTGCACGTTGCTCCTTCTGCACACAACTTTGCAACTTCTTTTGTTTAAAAACTGGGGAAAATAAAAAGTGCCCCTATCCCCCAAAGACCAAACCTTGCTCTGATTTCAAAGCAGTTGTTGAAGGAAGAAACTAGTTCTGGGATGAAAGAAATTCAGAGAGGGAGGGATGAAGGGAGGGAAGGAGATATATATAATATAGATGATAACAGAGGGAGGGAGGGAGAGAGAGAGAGAGAGAGAGAGAAAGAAAGAGAGAGGGAGAGAAAAACGGAGAGGGAGAGAAAAAGAGAGAAATAGAAAGAGAGAGAAAGAAACAGAGAGAGAGAGAGAGAGAGACAGAAAGAGGGAGGGAGGGAGAGAGGGAGAGAGAGAGAGAGAGAGAGAGAGAGAGAGAGTTTCATTCCACCACAGTTGCTGCAATGAATTGTGGAAGAGTATAGAAGAAGAGGAACGATTGAAGAAGTTATTTGAGGAGAAAATTAAACATTTATGAAGATATTTATACCAAGGTTCTACTGTGTTCTTTAGATAATGCCCTATTGTCACAGGTCTGGCATATGGAAGGAGACCTTCTCTTGCATTGTTCCACAACTACGACATGTTTTGAATTGCTTGGGACTTACCTTGGGATTGGGGCTTAATTTTCTTAACATTTGGAAAAGCTGAAAAGATGCATCTCTTTTCCCATGCTTCTAATTCTTAAATTGTTTTAGTCTGGACTTTAATTGAGTTTTATTTTGATATCAGGCCCAGAGATGACACTGTGAGATCCATACGAGTCCAAATCTTTTATTTGTTCACCCACTAAATTTGGCTAACACTTCACAACCCAGTAGATCAAAGTAGGCCAGGCCCAACTGTCTTCTACTGTCTCCCAGAATTTGCCCAAATTCATGTTCATCTAACTAACCTTATCATCCTCTGCCATCGCTTTCTCCCTTTGCATTCAATAAATCTTGATCAGGTTAAACAGGCTACACTCAATAGATAGAAGGGGCATAATGGCTCAGTGGTTAAAGATGCTGAGCTTATGACAGCCCAGGTTTGAGACCCAAGTGCCACACAATGAGATAAACTCCTGTTACTTGCCCTTACTCTTGCCAACCTACCAATTTGAAAGCATGCAAATGCAGGCAAATAAATAGGCACTACGTTGGTGAGAAGGTAATAGAGTTCCATGGACATCTTATAAATCCCTTTGATGGTGATGCTGTCTATCCCACATTTTTCTAGCTTACCAACAAGTAGATTGTGAATTAAAATAGAATAGAATAACAGAGTTGGAAGGGACCTTGGAGGTCTTCTAGTCCAACCCCCTGCTTAGGCAGGAAACCCTACACCACTTCAGACAAATGGTTATCCAACATCTTTTTAAAACCTTCCAGTGTTGGAGCATTCACAACTTCTGAAGGCAAGTTGTTCCACCGATTAACTACTAAATTTACTCCCACTATGAGTACTGGGATAACAATTTTACATCATAATGCCTTAAGTACCAAATTCAACACATTTTGAAGCATTTATACTGACTCTTTGTGTATTTTTTTTTCCCTACAGCTAGACTGCCCTACCTCATAAGTCAGCTACAGCCTTCCCAGGTCAAAGCACCTCAAGGAAGACCAGGGCCTCCTGGATCACCTGGAAAGGAAGGCCCTCCAGGTAGAGTTGGCCCTCCAGGAGAACCTGGCAGACCTGGACAACCAGGTTCAGAAGGTCCATTGGGACCCATGGGACCAAAAGGTGAGTAGCTCCTTAGCTGGAAAGCATCTTTAGAACCAAATGTTCCTTCTGATTTAGATCTTTCAAGGACTATGGACAGTTTTTGCAATGTGAAATGTTGTGTGGTCAAATAAACGGAAATGATTGTGGTGAATTTTTTCTAAATGTGTCATTTTCAAATGGATTGACACATCATAGAAGATAGTAGGAAATAAAAGCTTGATCACGTTTAGTTTATTGACTTGTTATGTTCAACCTGTTCTCCATACAGTTTTTATAGTACGACTGAAACCAAAGCCAGAATTTCTTTTACCCAAACACTCTGGGTGGATAAAGGATGTAGAATAGCAGAAACAAAATAAGACTCAAATGCGTTTAGATTTCAACTTTTAGATACAGAAACACCAGTCTAAGTGTCCATCCATTATAATCAATTTTCACATTTGATGAAAAATCTCAGCCAAATTCAGAAGTATTATTGTAAGTGCTCATTCCGTCTGTTCATACTGCTTTGTCCAACTTCTGCAATGACTTAAAAAATACTGCTTTAAGGTATTCACCCATTCAAGTTACTTCAGTTCTTAAAGCAACTGCCTTTTCCCTCTCCCCACAAATTGCCATGATCTTGAACAAATAATGACTGTTTTGATGAATAGCAACAAAGGGCTACCTTCCCTCAGGGAGTGCACATCTTTCAGAAGGTTCTACTGTTCAACGTCAACTAAATGGGACTTGAAAAGATTTTAAATATATAGAATGAGACATTGAACAGAATAACTGTTGTGAATCAATAAAAGTGAATAACCTAAATGCAAATTAGGGGTT